TTTTTTTGCAGAGATGAGGTCTCACTATATTGCCCAGGCTGGTCTCAAACTCCTGGCCTCAAGTGACCCTCCTGCCTTGGCCTCCCAAAGTGCTGGGATTACAGATAAGAGCTACTGCACCTGGCCTACCTGGTAATACCTTTTAGCCAGTTTAATCTGTTAGGATTCTTCCTCCAACCCCAATTTTCAAGATGACTAGCAATTCTTCCTGACAAGGAAATTGGGGAAACTCGCTATATTCTCTCTTTAGTTTATTATACATTGTTCTCATTTATAATTCAGAAAAAGTCAGAACTAAACAAATAAAAGTCACCAAATACCTTGTATCAAGTGCTTATGGTGTTCTGAGGTTAAAATTCCTAGATAATGAATATATTTATCAGATTATTTTCTTTGGTGACAATGGTAGTAATCTTTGGCCATAAACTAGTTATTAAGTTTTTACTTGCTTGAATACTGACCCTCCAAAAACAAATCATTTTTACCTGTCTGAATAATGGGGAGCCAGGTCAGATGAGAGGATTAAGGATGGGCACTATATATGAGGCCCACTACTCCAATCCTAAAAAGTAACCTGAATGAATTATGTGCTTTCTATTCAGTAAGCAATGGCAAAGAATAAATTGTTTTGTTAAACATGTATTTTCTAAATTGTCAGGAACTTAAAAACTTCAGATGGGAAAGTCAGTGGCTAAGTATCTTTCCTGAAGAACTTTTGGGATTAGGCATTTTGTATATATCTCTTCATATCAGATAAGATGCAAAATATAATTCTGTAGCAGGTACCACATGTTATGTCTTTGAAATGATGTTTTACAAACATGGCTTGACTCAACTGGCTATTGTTCACTTCCCCGAAAAGCCATTCTTGTGTAAGATTATCTTTTCCTGTGTCAAATTACATCTCTGCAACAGAGGACTTGGATCATAAATTACATAACAATAGCAACTGCATGGTAGCAACACCAGGAGTTAATCCACATAAATGCCGAGAATCAACAAAAGATATGCCGACCTCACATTTGCTAACATCAAAACTGAAGCCTGAGCATTTTCAAAAGCAAATTCAGGAGCCTGAACAGACTGCTAAGATAAGTCTTATGCTTTATAATAATAGGGAGCCATCATCAATTGTGGACAAAGGGCACTATGTGGTATTTATAGTATGTCAAGGTGAAGTGTCACTGTTGCTAGTTCAGCCACTAAACTACCATGTCAATCAACATTTCTCCCAGTTCTATGCAGGGGACCTGCCTACTGTGTACCATTTAAATCTCTACATTGTCCTCTTCTCCCGTAAGGTGTATGGAAATCTGAGAAAGCATAGTGAAACCCATGGCAATGTATGGGAAAGGTGTAAATGTTTCTGTGTTGTACCCAAAAGTGCAGTTATACCCAGTAGAACTCATGACATAACAGTGGAAGATGATGTATGTATGTGATTTTAAGTAAGGTCATATGAATCTCACTCAGCTGATCAGTGATAAAGTATTAAAGGGAAATTTAAAGGGTTACCTGAGAGTGGAATTTGTGAGCACAAGGCAAAACTGAAAGGTTTTCTGGAGACAGATTCTCATGACAGATCACACAAGGTTCCTCTTCCTCCTCCTCTTCCTCCTAGGAAAATACATATAATGTTAAATTTAGCTCGTTTTTCTCCTCCAAAATATAAATGTGTTCAGAATCAATAATTTTATTCTCACCAAATTACTGGCTCCTTCCCACGTGGCAGAACCTTGTGAACTGAGGGGCCTCCAGGATGGTTTTGGAGGCTGGGTAGCATTAGGCTGTGATGGAGAATGGCTAGGTGAAACACAGTTACCATTTGCCACTGATTTTCCTTGACTCTGAAAATAAGAATATAATAATTTTTTAGAAACATTCTAAAATAGTAAGACTAGAATAGCACAGAAAGCAGTATAGCAAGAATTACTTAAAATGATCATATTTGTAGAAATCTTGAAACAAAATGTTGGCAATCCTTATATACTCAGAGCTAGGTAAAGATGAAAATAACTGTATGTCCTTTTAATGAAAATATATCTTTCCAGAAAAATAGGAAAGAATGTCCCCCTTTGGAAGCCAAAGTAACCTAGAGTAAATTTTAAGGGGGCCAGTTCTATTCTAGAATAATCAGGTAATAGATATTTCAAAAAGATTTCCTATATCATTTGTCAAACTGAAGTTGTTGAATTACTTACTGTTAACAGATGATTTAATATGGTTAGAAGTTACTGATTTTCTGAACATGTTAAGAAGATAATTAAAACTGCTAACTACTAGAGATAGAGCAGAAAGAGAGTTTTGGCTTTTTTTTTTTTTCTTTTTTACCTGAGATCTCTTCGGTTCAATAAATTGGGAAATCTTGTAAACAATCTCATCAAATGTCAGTCCAGATAAGGACTTCCCATGAGCATCCTTCAACTTTCGTAATAAGTCTGTAAGCTCCTTTCTGGAAGAAATCAAGGAAAAAGCAGTGGTGATTTTTCCTATTGCCATGAAGATGTGCCCTCCAAAGGAGATATAAAATCCTATCATATGATTGATGTGTAGCATATAGATGTAATTTTCGATCTTTAATCGAAAAAATGTAATCACAGGCCCATCTTAATTTATCTTCAACCAAAATGAAAACTCCTAATTGAGTTCATTAATGATACTTAATGTATTCATGAGTGATAAAATTTAGTATTTATTTTCTTTCCAAAAAGAAACGTTGTTTCTGAGAGCTCACTATGTGATAATTGAGTTTATCTACTTGTTTATGCACTGAGCTCTTTATAGCACATTTCTCAAATATTCTCTTATTCAGGACTAAAATATTCCTTCTTAACTATGTTGCTGTTGGTTTCTCTGTTCTTTATCAGTGTTAATAGTTTTACTTTTGTAAAACTCCTCATGAACAGAAAACAAAGATTAAAAAGAACAGAAAAGCAAAGGTTAAAGATACATTAAGTACATGATAAGGGAATCTACAATTATTTTAATTGATATGTTCCTTTTCAGTTCCCAAGATCCACTAACCCAAAGCCTGTGTCTACATTTTTATAGGACAAAGTAGGATGAAATATTTTTCTTTCTCAAATGACTCGTCATGACGTCAGCCTTAAAGAACTACTTTTGATTTACAACTTATTCTTTTTATACATATTTATAACAACTGCACTAAAGTTTTCTTTTTATTATGTATTTACTATTATAAAATTTATAAGACCATAATCTAATCCTAAAGTATGATAGTGTATATATTAAATAAATGTGTTGGTCTTCAAATGAAAATACTGGTGAAAACTAGAGTTCCTTAGATAGGATAGAGATAAAAGAAACTTCATTTGTGTAGGGGTAGAATTAAATATCTTTTTGCTAAAATCAGATAGTGAAAAGCACAGTGAAATTATCATTTCTTGCATTTTACTGTGTTCCCTACCAAAAACAACTATAAGGGTCCTCAATGAAATTAAGGAAATAGGAAACTAAAACCTGAAGATGTTTGGGCTTATATAGCATACAAACAACTTAAAATTCACTTTGAAAATAGGTCATTAAGATAATTATTGCAGCTGGTGGCATTAAAATTGGATAGGTTTAAAACTAGATGCACTTTCAGTAAATGAGCACATCTAAATTTAAAAGTTATTCTCTTATGAATTAATACTAATAACTTTAATGAAAAAGTTTAGCATTTCTACTGAACACTATCCCTTCTTGGTAAATTTCATTCTCTTTACCAAGGCCATGGTAAGAAGTATCTGTACTTTGTGTGTGTGTATGTTATGTTTCTCTGAAACGTTTCATTGCCATATTATGGCTATGGAAACTGTATAATATGATCTGTACTCACCACTGAATAAAAACTAAGGTACCTGGTCTGTTGTGGAAAGGCGGTTTTCAGCCTGTCTGTAATCCTCTCCCAATTCATCATGGAGGGATCATTTCCCAGACCTGGATTGGGAGGCACAGCCTCTCCCACAGGCGCTGGCATAGTCCAGGCTATGCCAGTCATCTGTAAGGAACACGAAGTTATAAATCATCAGCTTCAATTATTAAGAAGTGATTTTTCATGCCAACATGACATTTCCACACCTCATAAAATGGGTAGAATGAAGAAAAATACTGACATATACATTCCCTTTTTAGAGTTTTTTCTTAACTAATGCAAACAATATTTCTGATTGTTTATAACTATTTTAACTTATTTTAAAAATAGGACATGATTGCCTTAGTAATTATACACGTGTACAGAAAAACATGAAGGCTTTTTATTGCTGTATTTTTTTTAACAGTGAAAAGCTGAAAATAATCTAGGGTTTATTATTAGGAGAATGAATAAATAAATTATGGCACATCTAATCAAATTCTAAAAATTAGATTCATTATGTCTGGGCATTAAAGATAACCACGAAATATTTTTTTTTTAAAGTTTGTGGCATAGTGTTTATGGTATGACTCCTTTTATATTAGAAACATTTTAAAGTACATGTGCGTATACACACACACACACACACACACACACACACACACATATGAAGGTCTAAGTTATATAACAATCTGTAAACAGTGATTATTTCCTAGGGATTCAATTGCAAGGTACTTTTGCTTTCTAGCTTGTATATTTCTATAATATA